AAAGAAAGAAAGAAAGAAAGAAAGAAAGAAAGAAAGAAAGAAAGAAAGAAAGAAAGAAAGAAAAAAAGAAAAGTTTATAAAGAAGCAGCTTCCAATCTTTTTGACAATGGTTATAAATGCCATTGTTAAAATATAACAATGTTAAAATATAAAATATAAATTTATACTTTATTTATACTCTAAGGTTATATCATAATTTCATTCTTTTCATAAGCTACCCTTTCTAATCTTTAAACCCATCAATCACAAATTCATTTTTCTCTTTTTTCAGCAAAACGTCCATAAGGGGGATAAATGTCACTGTCACTGATAAATGTAGTTGTTGATCTTTCTCTAATCAAACAAGTTGATTTTGCCATCTCTGTTAGTTCTGTCATCTTTACCAACCATTGCTCCATTGTACATATTTCAGAGTCTTTCCATTTTTGTGCATATAATAGTCTCGCAGCAGTAATCATATATAAGAATAATTTTCCATGGCTACTTTCTAACTGACTGTCCATTAATCCCAGCAAGGAAAGTCCTGGTTTCAGCTGAATGTTAATCTTTAAAATTCTCTGTATCATGATATGTTTTTGAACCCCAAAATTTTGGGCTTTTTTACAAGTCCACCAGGCATGATAAAATGACCCTTCATGTTGTCCACATTTTCAACATAAATTTGAAGTACTTTTATACATTCTAGACAATTTTTCTGGAGTCATATACCATTGGTGCATAATTTTATAACAATTCTCTTTTAGATTATAACATAATTAAAATTCAATCCTTTTAACCACATATTTTCCCACTGTTCCATCAGTATATTGTACCCAAAGTTCTTAGCCCATTTTATTATACAGTCTTTCATTTCTTCTTCTGTTTCAAATTTCAATAAAAAATGTATACTTCTTAACAATTATCATAATTCAACTTCAAATTCTGTCTTCTGCTACTCAGTTCCAAAAATCCTATTACCTACCTTAAATATTTCTCTTAACTATGCTTACAAAAATCATTGAAAACTAAATCCCTCTGCAGACAATTGCTCTTTTGATTTCATCTTATATTCTCCATGTTCCTGTTCTAACAACTCTTGATAAGTTAACCATTTTTCTTTATCTACTGTTTCTTCCCTGTAAAATGCTTCTTGTGCTGAGATCCATAAAAGCATTTTCAGGCACAGTCTGGGTTTATATCAGTTCCATTCTCAATATGGGACTTCTAATATAATAATTCTTAAAATCTACATTAACCTTAATTTTATCATACCATAGAAAAACATCCAAACCTCAGATCATGCTCTTCTAATTCTGAAATTCTTTTATTTTGCAGCAAAACCCACTTAGTCATCCAGATTAAGCAGCAGGCTGCAAAATACAATTTCAAATCAGGCAGTCCCAATCCTCCTCATTCCTTTGCATACCCACTTAGTCATCCAGATTAAGCAGAAGATGTTATTGTACAATTTCAAATCAGGCAGTCCCAATCCTCCTCATTCCTTTGCATCCTTAAGTATTTTATATTTAACTCTTGTTTTTTTTTTCTCTTGCCATACAAACTTGGATATATCTTTTGGCCATTGTTTAAATGGTGTATCAGTTGTCATAATAGGTATTGTTTGAAACAAAAACATCATTCTTGGCAAAATGTTAATTTTTATCACAGAAATTCTCCCCAACAATGACAATTGTAATTTCTCTCATCTTAACATGTCCTTTTTAATTTCATTCCATGCCTTAACATAATTATGCCGATATAACATACAATTCATGTTAGTCATAGTGATACCCAAATATTTCAATGTTTTCTCAATCTCAAAACCAGTGTTTGCCATCAATGCCATTTGCTTTTCCATTTCCATATTCTTTATTAATATCTTTGTCTTTTGTTTATTAATTTTAAAACTAGCTAACACTCCAAAATCCCAAAATTTTCCATTAATATTTCTATTCCTTCCAGAGGATCTTCCAAAATTATCACCAGGTCATCAGCAAATGCCCATTATTTATATGTTTCTCTTTTAGTCCTCACTCCAGCAATTCTCTCATCTCATCTTATATCCCTGTTCAATACTTCCAAGGCTAAAATAAATAGCAATGGAGACAAGGGGCATCCTTGTTTAGTCCCTTTCTGTATCTCACAGAGTTTTGTTAATTCTCCATCCCGTTTCCCCTCCCCCTTCAGTGCTGGGTAGTTATGGACCTCAAATCTTCAGGTGCTCTGTTCACTGCTGAGAGAGGGGAGGGGAAAGAGGATGAAGCAAAAGAGTGACAGCTCTTTTGCTCTGTCCTCTTTTCCCTCCCCTCTCTCAGTGGTGTGCTCTCTTGGTGGTATGCTAAGGAAATCCTTCAGCAGACAGCTCCTTCACTCCGTAAACTTAACGACCCAGGAGATCGCTTAACAACCACAACCGGGAGTACCCGGATTGCAGTCGTTGAGCAAAGCAGTCACTTGGGCGTCTTGCTTAATGACTGCTTCACTCAACGACTGAGATGCCCGTCCCAATTGTGGTTGTTACGCAAGGACTACCTGTATACACATACAAATTCTGCTGCTTAATCTATCAAGTCTCAGTGCTATTGCTTCACTAGACAATGGAAGAAGCTGTTATATACTTTTTCCTCTTTTGTGCAACAGACCACCTAATATTTGCAATAGTAGAATAGGTACAGGGTGGAAACAAATCACACCTTGAGTTTGCCGAAGTAATCCTGAAAGGATCTGGTGAATTTCAAATTGGGGACCTGCAAATTTCTGAGGACTGTCCAATGGAATTACTGTAGCTAAAAATCCACTGAAATGGAAGGACACAACCTGAGAATGGTATACAAACAGATTAAGCCAAGTATATTGACTGAATAATGAATAGGTGATTATGAAGGAAGAATTATATGTAGAGAAATGTCATCTTCCAGAAAGCATAAGCAGAAAATAAAAATACTGCCTCCTCTCTGACTTCCACATGTGGATAATGCCATATTACAAATGGGTATATGTTGCTTGCCTCAGTGAACACTCCCAAGAGAATCATCATGGCCAGAAAAGAAAAGAATGAATCTTTTCCCGTGGTCAGGAAGTTTTGCAGAAATGACCTTGTTCCTGTGGAACTGCACTGATTCATGTCATACCAAGTTCAAGAGCAAACCACACACAGGCAAGTTCATAGCACCACAAACTTCAGAACATTTCAAAAATATTCTCATGTTTACAGCAAATTGGTCAGTGGAGGACAAACACAGCATCTTGAACTTGAAACAAATGTTAAGTGATAGGACCAGTTGCTTAAGAGGGAGAAAATCTAATTTATAGACAAGATAAAGATAAATAGATCAAACTGAAGAGGACTATTTCCAACAAATTTATAACCAGTTTTCTGGGATGTGCAATATGATTAAGATTACATAAATAATCAGCATGAGAATCTACCTACAAAAATGCAGGTCTCCTGAGGCTTACAATAAAGAAACACCAATAATGTTTCTTGTAACAGTATATGAATAACCATTTTCAACTTTAGTATTAGTCCAGCATTGTAGAAGTTTTTCTATATTCAAAGATGGGAAAAGGGAATTAAATGGAAATAGCTGACCCCTTGTTTCCATATATCTTCATAAATCCAAAGAACAGCATGCTCCTGACAAAGACTCCTTATATATCTCTTTTGAGACCACCCATAAAATATACATAAATCAGTCTCCAATGGAAGAGATCCATGGGTGCACCTGAATTCATGCAAACCTTTCCTCATGCTATTTATTAACTAAACAATTATGAAGCATTCCATTCAGATTTCATTGCCACCTCAGGGTAAATTAGTTTCCACAAAGTCATTTGAATTTTGATTATACCCTGCAATAAATAAATATGAACTAGTTATATTTGAAAAATCAGAATTCCTTAATACATATTTTATTAAATATTAATACATCTGGATAAGGTAGGGATTCCCTGGAAAAGGAACTCTCAGAAATTGTATCTACAGGTCTAAAATAGCTTGAAATTAAATTTTACTGAAAGCTATGGAATTTCATTTCCAGTAAAAGTGGCTTCAGTTATGACAGACCACTATTCTGAGTGAAGTTCTTTTTTAGCTCAAGGTCATCCTCTATCTGTCTATATTTTTCTCCCTGCCAGGAAGAAACCTGAGGCAGTGCTTCAAGCAGCAGGTGCTCACGAGCAGGGAGTGGTAGCAAAGCGTTAAAGAACAAATCTTTCTG